TTTTTTTCAGGTACTATAAATAAAATCGGACTTTATTTGATCATAAAATTTCAAAACTGGATTTTATTAACATAATTTATAAAAGAAAGTCAAATAATTTAAACACATTTATGAGACAAAAGTACAAAGATAAGAATGAAAAAAAGTATTATGAATATATGTAGTCATGATATGACATTGTTGAAGTATCTATTCATTTTTATTATGAAAGTATTATCAGTATCATATCTGATTAAAATCAACAGAAAATAAAACTACAATAGTTTACTGAAAACTATTCATCTATTAGTGATACATATTTAATAAGTTTAATATTATGAGAACGTATTTAAAGGTTACGAAGACTTTAATATCTACCTTTGCATGTGGAAAGATTTTATCTTGTTTTTTATTCCCTCGACGTACGAAAATATGTCATACTTAAAGAATGAAAAACATGCATTGAAAAGGAATGTTTAATTTGATTAGAAAGACTTAAAAGCTTATGAATTAATTGCATAAAGAAAAATTCGTATTCTTTTAATCTTATACGTAAAAATCCTATTTTAAACTTCTCAAAAGTTTGCAAATTATCGAATTATAATAAAACTATATACTTACAGATAAATAAATCTTCTAGTAAGACATTATTTGAATTATTTGCATTTACTTCTTTTGTTGGTGCCATAACTTCTTTTTGAATACGCACTATTCGAGTATCTGTTGTTTGAACTTGAAATTTAAATCCTACAATCTTATTGTTTTTGATATTTTTGTTACCACGAAGCTCATCTGGATTAATTCGTATTGTAACATAACGTTTTTGAAAGAGAGGTATTTGATAAGTTTTATTAGCATAACTTTGTAATTGTTCTACATCTTGATCATCGTTACTATTGGTTTTTTTTAATAAATATTTCAACTGTATGAGCATATTTCACAGTGATTAGAAACAAAATTAACCATTTTATCATGTATCTTCCTTGCATTTGGTTTGATAAATGTTTTTTTTATTTTGTTTTACTAGATTCTTATCATATAATAATGATGTTCTTTTTCTTTTCGTATTTTTTTTTTATTACAAAGCGAAGCAAAAAAAGATACTCGTACAAAGAACGACAAGAAGATAACAAGACACAACATAATATTGACCATATAAAGGTTTGCAATTTTCAATATCGACGACTTATATATAACTTAAAGTACGAATGTTATATAATCCATCAGTAAAATTAAATCACTGGTTTTTTTGATCTTCATGCAAAAGAATAGTTTATTACGAAAGTTATAAGAAAGGATGAAGTCATTGAGTAAAAAAAAACTCTACTTAAGACATTAACTTGATAATTATATAATATCTTTGCATCATATATGTTAATATCGATTTAATATGATTGATTACATACAAACTTAACTTCGTATGAAAATCGCGATACTGACTATATGAGATACAGTTTTGCTTTTGGTATAAATAGGATATATTACATACTATCAAACTTTAATATCAATGAATCCAGTTAATTGAATACTAATATTTCAACTTATCGTATGTTCTAATTGACATTTTTTATTTTGATACATATTAAACAAAATCTTTCACTGGATCATGATAAATATTGAAGTAATTCATTATGAATGGTACGTGTAACATAAAAAAGAACTGGAAAATAAGTGTAAATAATAGCTTTGTAACACTTTTTAATGTGAAAAACTAAAAGACAGACGAAATACAAATATTTATCTCGTGATTATGACTCATTCCAACATGAGAATTTTCTATTCTTATCAGTCTGTAAATATAAATATACTCGGTTTTTTGTCTTTCACTATCTTAATAAAAACAAAAGACTTAAAGTATCCTACAATAATGGCTACACCACCTGCTCCAATTAGCCAATTAAATATTCTGATAATTGGTGATAGCGGAACTGGTAAAAGTTCTTATATCAAAAGACTTCAACAACAAGCATTCTCTCATGATACTACTAGAACTGTAAATATAATTTTTGTTTTTCCTTAGAAGTTTTATTTATCAGCTCCATTTTTTTTTTCTAGAAAGAATGTGATATTCTTACAATAAAATTAAAAACTAATCAAGGTGCTGATATTTCAATAAAAATATTTGTACAAAAGTGATCTAAAATAAATTTATTCTTAATAAAATAACTTTCTATTTATAGAATATTGCTGGTTCACAACGAGGAAAAACAAAAATAAACGAATATTTTAAGAACATAGATGGATGCATCATTATGTTTGATTTATCTCGTCCAGAGACATATGATAATGTATTAGGATGGCATAATGACATTCGAAATGTAAATAAATCAGATGATTTGCAATGGATGCTTTTAGCAAATAAAGTCTGTCTAATTAAAAGTTGATAGTTTTCATTTTTTTCAATAGTTAATGTTTTTTTTTTTTTTAGTGTGATCTTGAGAAAAGCCAAGAATCTGATTATGCCATAGGTAGTATGAAAGATTACTGTCAAATGCTTGGTTCTTGTTGTTCTTTTGAAACATCAAATAAAGAAAATATCAATATTGAAAAATCGTTGAAAACGTTGATCGACGAAGTATAAATCTGAGAATATTAATATGATTTTATTACTGTTTCTTTTTAAGATAATTAAACGAAAAAAACCGTCAATATCGATACCACTCGAAAACGAGAAACGAGAATATCGATTCAAAGTTTTAGTTATTGGTGAACGTAATACTGGCAAAACAGCGATTATAAATCGCTACACAAAAAATACTTTTTCAGGAACCTATCGCACTACCGTATGTTATATTTATTTAATTAGAATATAGTTTATTAAATTAAATCGCTTAGATTGGTGCTGATTTAGCTGTTCAAAAGATTCAATACGATCCCAATACTATTGTTCATCTTCATATTTGGGTTTGCAGATATTCATAATTATTTTTCTTTTAAAAATCACATTATTTTTAATAAGGATATCGCCGGTGAAGAACGATTTGGAGGTATGACTCAATTATTTTACAAAGACGCAGCTGGCTGTCTTATCGTGTTTGATATAACTACACCAGTAAGCTTAACGAACAGTGCAGCAAAATGGAAAGATGATTTTGATAAAAAACTTGATATTCATGAGAATAATCAAGTGCCATGTATACTTATTGGCAATAAAGTAAAATATTTCTTTTGAAAATTAAATAATTCTATAATTATTATAGTGTGATTTAAAAAGAGACGGTACTGACATCAATGAAGATTTTATAAATGAATTTTCTCGTAGACATCAATTCACTGATTACTTAGCAACATCCGCCAAAAATAACATCAACATTAAAGAAGCTTTTTCAATTCTTCTCGGCAAAGTAAAATGAAAAACAAATATTTATATTTCAAAACTAGCGTGATGTTTATAGATGTTGGAAAATATTGACACTGTAAGATGTCTACGAAGGAGAACTTCCAATATAATAACACTCTCATCTCCAACTACATCAAATGTAAATCCTACTACTCGCTGTTGTCATATATAATTATAAATATTTGTCCAGAAAATACTTATTACATACTAAAAATCATTGCAATAATAATAAGCATACATATATATTTGTAAAAACATTGAAAAATTATTACGATACAAGTTTATCCTACATTTATTTTCGAAGAAAAGAAGATGAATAAAATACAAATGTATTCGTTGATCTTTACTGTATTATATTTATGAAACTAATTCATTCTTCTTTTCTCTACATGCTGTACATATTTCCGGTAATAAACTATTGATTTTTTTTTGCATATTTATTTTGTTTCAATGAACAATTAAATATTGTTTGAAATTGTTCATTTCCTTTTAATACTCGATTAATATGTAATTCATTATTCATTATTGAAATCATTTCACGATTAATATGTGTACATTCTGATTGGCCATATGTAATAAAAAATGTTTTTATATAATTTAATTGTTTGGTTGTTAGATTTAATTGTTCTTGTTGATAATTTATAAGTAAATTTAATGCAATTAAATCAGCAAAATATTCACGTTCAGTTAAATTTATTCCACATGGACATAGAGCATGACCAAGTTCATGTGCAATAAGTAAAAGTGCACCTATACGTGTTGTTTCATTTGAATAAAGTTCAGCAACAGTCGGTTGTAGAAAAATTCCTTGTTTTATTGTATGATAACCATTAATTTCAAAAAATTCATGTGTAGGTTGAAGTAATTTTTCATGAGAACTTTCAATTATATTCCATGCTGTTGATAAATAATTATTTTCTATAAAATAATATTCATATGGAATATGTGTTGTTGTTAGAAAAAGATCATGAAATAATTTCAAACGTTCAGGTTTTATATGAAATTGAAGAGATGATAAAAATTGATTATTTAAATTACTTAAAATAAGATGATCACGAAGTTGATAAGCTATTGAATAAAGTTCTTCAGTTTTATTTAACATATATTCTTCATAAAATGATGATAAAGTAAACGGATAATAATATTCAAGTAAAGCTAAACAATCTTTTGGTATATGATTGAATGGTAATGATAATGATTGAATATCTTCAGTAGAAAAAGAAAATAGTATGATGAACTTTTTTATTAATAAATATATATTTTTCAAAAGAAAAGAGATAATAAAAAGAGTAAGTTATTTGAATCTATCATTAAAAAATTAAAATGAACATCATCATTGTATGTTCAATTCTTAACCCTTCGTGGGATCCATGCGGACCCATTTCACAGAGTTTCATTCAAAATTACATCAAGGACTTCTGTGATTGACCTATCGCTTTATATCATCTCTAATTCTATGTTGGTCTATATCATCCTTATTTCAAATCACAGATAAGTCTAATAGATAAAGAAAATGGTGCTATGGATCCGCGTGAACCCTAGGACAACTGTACTCTTTTCATCATATTTTTTCTCTGCTAAAGCTGCCATCTGTTGATTTAGAGCATCTTGGGGGTGTTGGTGTTACTTAGAATATGAGTGTGATTGACTGTGGTTTCTTTATGCACTCACACCCACCCTTATCTTCTTTATATGATTTTATTCATCATATTTCTAGTCGTATAATAGTGTTTATCTTACTTATTTGTTCGATTGACTTCTCATGTAAACTTTGTTTCCAAAGACTTTTTAAACTGATTTGTATTCCTTCATGAAAAACACTAACAAATGGTAATAATTTCGGACCATATTTATAAACCATTAAATTACAATAATGTGCATATTGATCAGCAAATAAAAATCGAAATACTGAATCAAGTTGAAAAAAATCTATTAAACGTATTTCAACGGTTATAATTGGTGAAGAAATATCTTTGATTTGTTTTTTAGTATATTCAATAAATGAATTCCAGTAGGGTATTATTTCTAATTGATTATGACGAACTATTGTAGAATATAAACATATATATGATGCATCACCTGGCCATGAATGAACAATTAAATGTATTATTGATGCTGAAATATAATCAAACCATGCATCGAATTTTGTATTATTTAATGATCGAAATTGAATATAATAATTAAGATATAATTGACATTGATATGATATTGTACTACGAAATATTGGTATATTAATTAGAGATTGTTCTAAATCACGAGTAAAATTGACTAATAAATTATAAATATGCGTATCATTTAATGATTCAATCATTTGTTTATCTAACATAAATTGAATTAAATCTCCTAAATCATTTGGATGTCGTACAGATGAATAAATAATTGGTAAAGAATTTTTTTCAGCTAATAAATTATGTAAATCATCACTTATTGTAGAATTTGTATATGATAATGATAGTGTTAATAATTGTTTATATTCTTTTAATGTATTTGCTAAAGGACCAACACGTGATGATTGATAACATAAATCAATATGATGTTTTTTGACATAATGTTCAAATAAACTAGCTTGTTCAATATAATGTGGTTGAAAAGAT